GGAAAGCCCTTATCAAAGAGAGACTGAACACCAGATCTGGTTTTAAATAGTATGCATGTAACATTTATTCTATGATATAAAGAATACAGAAGTGTAAGAATATAAGTTCAGCAGTCATCAGCAACAATAGCAAGAGGCCTCATTCACACTCGCATTCATGCAACTCATACTCACAGCCAACTATGTCCAACTGGATCGAACAATGAACTCCTCTGAGCAGAGCTGACGCAGAATGTGCTGGTCTTCCTTTATCTTGAACACACACACACACACACACACACACACACACACACACACACACACACACTCTCGTCACATTCCATTCTCCCTCTGGATAGTACAGGGCAGGCTTATCTGTTATGTTCCTTTCTCCAAGCACTCCCTGCCTCTCCATTTTGCTGCGAAAAAAACTCAGTTCTGGTCAGTCCCATAAAGCTTTTTGATTCTCCATTTTCTTCTGGGTCTTGGGCCTTCAGGAACCCATGCACACTGTAACATACATAATTTCCATATATGTAAAGGGTTTTCCCCATTGCATTCAGTATTAAAAGGATGACAGGTGACAATTTGATTCTGTTCATTTGTTTCACTGTTACCGTTCTATCAAAATGTAAGTTTCCACGACACTTCCCATATTGATTGTATCTCGCAGTGCTTGGTATTGCATATGGACATTCCAGTTTCAAGTTCCCATTTAGCCAAGAAGCTTTAGGGTGAGCATAGGCCAGTCACACACTGTCAGCCTAATTAACCTAACTGACATGTTGGGAGGATGAATAGGTGGGACCAACTGGGAATACTGTCTTGGGTTCTTTATGGGAAAATATCATGAATTTGTTTTTAAGCTTTCAACATCTGAAGACTTCCTCTGAATCCCACCTTCAATGGAGGTGTGATTGGCAGTAATAAAGAAGAGGACCTTCTCTGTGGTAGCCCCCATATTTTAGAATGATCTTCCCACTGAGGCCTGTCTGGCACAAAATTTACTTATATTTTCAGCACCAGGTTAAGACTAGCAGTATGGACTAGCAGTAAGCGACCTAGCAGTATGGACTTTTTTAAATTTTAAAATTGTTAAAAAATGACTCTATATCTTTAGTGAAATGTTATGATGTTTTTACTGTTGTTTATATTTTATGTTGTATTTTGTCAGCCTTAACCCAGAGAACTTTGGCCATTAGACAATATAGAAATTATAATAACAAGAACAAAAGAAGAAGAAAGAACTCTAACATGAGCTAATAATGCTTAGTGGTAGAGCAATATGGTCATTTAGATGAGGCCTTCGTAATATTCTCAGTTGCAGAGTCTGGCAAAGGAGACTGGTATATAAACCAATATGCTGGAAAGAGCTTTTTGTAGTCAGATGAGAGTGACAAATAGGAGGAACATCTGGAAGTGACTATATTTAGAGCCATCATGATGATGCCATGAAATGGCAAATTGGCCACAGAATGTGCTATGTAGTAGCATATGCTACATAATAGATCCTTGCGATTTCCAATAGTTTCTTAAAAAGGTAAATTAAATTTTCAAAAAGGTATAAAAATCAATGAAAATTTAATTGACTTGTGAACTGTGTTACAATACAGTACTCAAGTTTAAGTCTTCTATTGAATTAAGTTGTTTCGGGCTATTTTGTATGGGTGTATGGAAGGAGGCTTGAACAGGTTCTGAAATGCCTTGGTGTACATTCTTACACTGCTGAAATTGTTAAATGAGTCTTGTAATATTCTTGTTCAGCGATTGATCACCTATGGTTGGGCAGAAAGGTGAACGAAAGCATAGTCCTTGTCAGACTTCAACCCGCTCAGTAAAAACACTAACAAAATGTAGCTCCAAATGTGGACTGGGAGAACATAACCTTTATCAAGAGAGCTGTTACAGTGTGTGGAAGCTAACTGCTAGTTCTGTACAACTGTCACATCTGCTTTCAGTCTGTGTGCCAAAGGGTCAGAGCTCAACCATAATCCTGTTGCACCCCCTGCTGGTTAAAAGCCTGTGCTCATTTTGTTACTTTACACTGAGATAAACATTGCAGTCATTTCACACTTCTTTTAACATTCCATATGAATTTAATTATCGTTTGTTTGGACATCGCTGGTTATAGAGTACAAACAATTTATTACAGATGTTCCCATTTTATTTTTATATCTTCTGTTGCCAGGTACAACACATGATTCACCAAAGGCTTCAACATTCAGCAGATTTCAAACCTTCGGGTCTCAGTCGCTTTCCTACTCAGCTTTTTGACGAGACTGGACAAGAAATTAAAAACCCACTTTTGTTGCAGAATGAGCAAAAAATTTGGGTTTCTTATGGTGAAGATTACAGGTAGGAGCAAAGCATTTAGCTCTGTGACTGTCAGCAATCTTTGTGTTGTCAAACTGCTGTAAAGGGAAGTTTGATAACCCCCAAGTAAAATCCCTTTTATTTTTATTGTAAATTCCAACAGAATTTCAGAGGTCTTGTTTGAGGCAGTTTTGTTTGTGGGATATGACATCTCTGTCTCTGATTTACTGTCTTAATGCCTTGTCATAGTTCTTGATGTCTGCCTGTCAGCACAGCAAGAGGGATTTTTTCATGTCTGAATAGTCACCTTAATGATAGCAGATGGAAACACCACAGGGGGTCCAAGCCCATCACACTGTCATTGTCACAGACTGCCCTGACCTGTTTCCACTCCTCTATTTTTTTGTCCCTTTTTAAAGGAGAAATGGATGGTAATTGAAAAGGATCTTAAGCAAGATTTATGAAGCTGTACCAACACGATTCCCTACTATCCCTACTAGCGCTCTGTGTTTTCAAAAAATAAAGTATTAACCTTTTAAGCACCAGCAATAGTAGAAAGCAAAATAAATTTGTAAAACTAGTAAACTCTGATTAACTAAAGTTGGAAATGGAAGGCTGCTAGGCTGTGCCATAGTGCAGTTGTTGCATTTGAGAAAATGCAAATACTGTTTTTATGTTTCCATTCAATTGTTCCCAGAGACAAAAATTTCTGTGCTTCAGAATTAACGCCTATGTTAGTCTGTTTTAATTGAGGTGAATTATATTTAAACAAACAAACTTATCTCCCAAAATATCTGCACAGTCATCAATAGAATATACTTTGTTTATGTTTGTGGTATCACTGTATTAGCAAGATACATCTGTGTTCATTAAATGTAGGAATGTTCTTATGTCTCTCATTCTATAATCGCAATACAAAATAATTTTATTTGTTAATATATTTCCTTTTAGTGATATATTTTATGTTTTTAATGCTATATTTTCATTTTCTATAAAAGGTTTTGTTTACATTTTATGTAAAAAAAATACCAGGCATTTTATGTACATTTACGGAAATATATAGAGCCCAATATGATTGTTCATTCCTTTGTTTTAATCACAACTCAGTCCTTCGTGTGTTTTTTGCACACAAGTAAATCCTACTGTGTTCACTGAGAGTTATGCCCAGGTAATGAACTCAGTCATAAAAGTTATCTTTATGACTCAGATGAAAAATGAAAGGCTTTAAATAAATATAGTGTGTTAAATATCTGATGCTAAGCACTGCATTAATATTATTTTCTTCTATCTTTCACCATGTTTTTTAATTAAAAATATTTATATCTGATCCTAAATTTTATTATGGACTTTCCTTATAAGCTAATGAGAGCAGGGCTTGGGTTGTGTTTTAGTTTATAGGCTTTACAGAACACATACTTTATGCACTAGAATTACATTATGACTAATCTCTGTCTGCCTACCTTGAATCTTTGCTTGCTTAAATAATGAAAACAGTTTTTAAAGAATATATCTTCCACAATTATTTTGAAAGTGAGTTTGCTAACCAAGAAGTTGGCATGTATTCCTAAATGCATTATGTTTTATGCAGACAACTGTTTTGTAACAGCTTACTGTGAATGTGAAAGGGAAATAAAACTATTCAAAATGTTCACATCTGATATTGTATTCTGTCTAAAATGTACCTTTTCATGTTTTTTCATATCTTGGCTTTTATCTTTAGTTCAGTAATAGTAACTTATTTATGTATTGTTAATCAAATGAATTGGATTAAGAAAGAGTATCATTCGCTTTCAAAAGATAATGATCCAAAATGTCAGCTCCCATTCTGTAGAAAGGAATTCTATAAAGAAAAAAAAAATGCAATCCTGTACATGTTTAGACAAAGTGTCCTACATTTCCCAGCATTCTCTACTCAGCAATGCTGTCTAGGAATGCTGGGAGTTCTACAGGGTTTTTTTCCTGCCTAAATATGCATAAGATTGTGCCCTTTTTATAGAAAAAGTGTAACTTCTTTTCATATGGCTTTTTCAATACTAATTACATTTATGTATTCAAACTATACTCTAGCATTATATTTTATATGCATTAAAGTGGATCATTGTTTCTTTTATGTATTGGTGGCAAGAAGTTGTTTATCACCTTTTGTTTGACATTTGTGTTGGAGCAGCACTCAATAAGATGCTTATAACTTTATGGAGGCTTGGCCCCAGTAAAATCTGAAGCTTAAATATACTCCAAAAACTGTACATGGTAGAGTGAATATAATCACCTCTCTCGCTCTCTCTCTCTCTCACATACACACACGCGCACGCGCGCGCGCGAATGAAAGCTTCACCTTCCTATATATAATGTAAAATACTCATTTTATGTACAGAATTTATTTTCAAGAATCCAGTTAAAAGCAGTTCAGTGTCATGTGCTGGAGCAATTTCATTATTTTGTTATCAGCTGAAATTTGATTCCCTGTTCAAGTAATGTATTATTACTAGTGGATACATTTGTGAAAATTATCTACCTTTGAATATGTCATTTTTGAAAATTGTCAATATTGTTGATTGTCTCGAAATGCCCACCCATAAGAGTATCTGAATATTCACTATGAAATGGTTTTGCCCTTTGTGCTTTGCCCTTCAAACCATCTTAAAGTGATCTTCTGAAACTTAGTGGATTACAAACATTTGTGTTCTTTGTTATATGCATCATACTATATAACAGCTGAAGCAAATTTAGAATAGCTATTCTTTGAAGGTCTGTTTCCCATTGTGAAAATAGAATACCTTTTCAGAAATGTTGTTTGCAGGTACATGATCTCCTGCAGTCCAAGTGTGAAAATATAGCAATCTCTATTTCCCCTCTCCCCCATTCTTTTTTACCTAAATGAACTTAAAGGTATTTCTCTGAAGCTTCGCTAATTTGATCTCAACTGTAGTGATTGTTACAGTATGATGTATATAACAAATGTATTATTGGAGGACAGCAAGTATATAAATTGAATGGAAAGGGAGAATTTTTAAAAATATATATGCTGAATTCTTTATTTCCCCAAGTTTATCCCAACAGAAATGAAGCTTTAAAAATGAGGTCTGATAAATTTTAATAGATAATAAAAGTAAATGTGATTGCTATGATTTCAGTATAATAAGTTATTCTATCATGACACTCTGTTCACTTTTTGACCTCAGTATAATGTCTGCTTCCTATGTGTCATTTGTTTTACATGGAAAGTTTTTCTTTCTAAGACAACATGTCATGTGTATTCTGGCTCTAATGTTAGGATAGAGTGGTTGGTCTGAATTATTTCAACATACCATGTTTGAACATACCATAACATCATGGCATTAAAATGTAGAACCATTATATGCTTATGAATTGTTCTTGAAAAAAATATGTGTGGCCTTTCAAAGGGATTTTTTTTTAATTCTGAAAAATATTTCAAAAACTCTTCTCTGCAAGATTCACATTCATTGTATTTCTGTTCTTTGGTTTCTGTCATGACTGTTTTCTCTTACAAATTCTTATTTTGTCCTTGTAAGGTTTGGGATGCCAGTCAGTTGACTACCCATTAGTTTATCATGTATTTCAAAATATTCCATGAAAATCTCAAGGTCACTCTTGTGTCAATGTGAGCCAATGATAATTGCAGGTGGAAAGGTCTCCTGCTCCCCAGCCCTACAGATACCATGATAACATGTATGTGGTATACACTCTCACACACATTTGCATTGTGAGTCACACCTAAAACTCTCTGTGAAGAATTTCTATTCTCTTGCTGCACCCCTTGTAAACTTTTCCTACTGGCCACCTGTCTAATTGCTTGCATCTCTGAATAGGATTCAGGACGATCTATGAAGCAAATAGGCACAGACATAGCTGCAAATATTTAGGGCTTCTGGGTGACAGTAATTGTAATGGGCTTACTGGACTTTGCTTTCTAATTTGGTTGAAAGAATTGATAAATGAAAACCAGAAGACATTCCAGAGAATTCACTTATTATTAATATATTTTCATATTGATATGTGAACTCACATTACATGTCGGTGATGGCTACTTCATAGTGTACATTTATATTGTGAACATTTCAAGTTATGAATACATAAGCAACCAAGGTATACCATGGAAGTAACTGGCACAATTTTACTGGTCATTTGGCAAAACTGTCCCTTTCAGTGCTGGCATTTCAGAAGCCATGCAGAATCACCAGACAAAAATGCTACCTAACCCTCTTCCCCCAAGTCTTGTTTCACGATGACTGCTTCTGACAGCTAAATTAGATATGATGTTGGCAAACGCAGTTGTTTAAATGTGGACTGGTCTTAATCAAAAATACAGATGGGTTGAGGTATCTGAAAGTTTAGGTGTAAAGGGCATGTCTGTGCCATTTACCTTTCCACAGGCTCTCCTGCACTGCACTTTTCTCCAATATCAGAGCTTAGCTGGTCTGCCCTCAGGCAGCACTGAGTAAGTGGAATGCTGACAGCTGACATCTCAGGCTGGGCCAGAGGCATATGTGGCCCTCTGGATGTTGTTGCACTACAACTCCCAGCATCACCACCATGCTTCCCAGGGCTAATGGGACTCAAACAACATCTGGAAGGCTACAGTTTAGCCTACTACTGCCTGAGGCAGAAAAGCTGTAAGTCTGCACACAACTTTTAAATCCTGTACTCTTGCTCTCCCACTTTGGAGAAACTCCAAAGAGTTCATTAGGAATATTCAAATCTATGCATTTTTATATTTAGTAATTAAGAAGTCTGCCCAAGTCCCATTTGCCCAGGAATAAGGCAAACCAATGTCTCCTTAGTGTTTGGTGTAAGAGGGAACTCCTCTGATTTAGTAGGGTATTAGGAAAAATTGGGCTTCTGGACTGTAGTTTTTGGTAATTAGCAATATTTTTTCCATTCTTCATTAGTGTTCTAATAATTTAATATTTTACCATTATCTGACAATATTTGACCAGTCAAATGCTATCCAGCTCATTCCTACCTAATTGCTAGTATTGCAACACTTCTATGAGTGCCTTTGCTATGCCAGTTTCTCCTCTTGTCAGCAAACCCAACATCTCCCTCTTAACTCCTTTACAGTGCTTGACTAAGGATTTGACACCTGTTCAGATAATAATGTCCTCTGATTCTCTTTTTTCCCTTCCTTTGAAATTTAGCACCTCCAGTAGACTGAATGCTCAATTAGGGAGTTTGGTTATACCAGTCTTTATGACCCAATCCCAACCAGCTGCTTCCAGGAACAAGAAATCAATTTTCCTTCCTCTGAAGGAGATTGGCAGGAATAGCTTTCTCAACACAAGCATTCACAGAAAGATTATTACTGACAACAAATAAATAAATTTAGTTTTAATGGTTTCATATTTATTAATTATCAACATTGATTTTTGTATTCTACAAGACTGTGAGATTTTCTTTTACATTTAGAGCAGTTGTAGTTTCCTTCTTGAAAAACTGCAAGTCAGAATCTCATTGGATCTGCTCTGATTCATTTACCTCTCCTATGATTAACCATAGTCTATGCCTAGCTTGCCTTTAGTGTCATTTGAGGGTCGAGTGGGATGAGATGGGGTGAGGGAAAGAAGAAGGATCTGCAATGTTGCAGAAGTGATGTTGATGCAAAGTTTTCCCATGTTAGTTTGTTTCTGTTGAAAGAAGAAAGGTTTTTCATGTTCTCACTTGAGCTTTATCATTCATAGTATAAGGAAAAATAAACAGTATGAACATGACCTTAGCTGTTGTTGATTAACTTGCAACAGGATTTGCTCTTTTGTAGATGATCACCTGGAATCTGGTTATAGTTCTTCTTTGATTCCCAACAGTTATTTCTGTTTGGAGATGAGCCACTATTTCAGGAATAATTCAATTTCCTTGATGTCCATAACCTATAGGTTAATAAAGACAACAAGCTTGCTGTGGTGAAAATTAATTCCCAGGGTGAAAGCACCTGAACTTCGCCAAGGAGCTAGCTGCTTAGATTACTAATTTTTCCTTACCATCAAACAGAAAACAATATAAATTTGAATGGCATCTTGCTGAATTAATTCTTAATAACTAGAGCTCTTATGTTCACTGTTTTAGAAACAAATAATGACTGGTTTTGCAGTTGTTTGATTCTTCTCACACTCCCCAAAAAAGGAAATATTTGATGATGTTTCCATTTTTCAGGTCTCCCTTAAGTCCTGTTCTGAGTCTGACCTTTGACAGAGTGACTGCAGCTGAAAAGGATGGCATCACAGTTATTTATAAAACACTTCTGGATCCCACTGTCGATTTGCTGCCTGGATGTGACAAGTACATTAACTTTGCTTTATCTGGGTTTTTGTAATGACTAAAACTAAGATGTGGGAGAAAGGGAGAAATGCAAATGTTAGGATATTTTGCAACTCTTACTGTAACGTGATAAGTAAACTATTATCCCTCGCTGTGTATTATAAAAAATACATAATAGATAAGCCGAGTAAACTGTAGATTCAGTTAAGAAGGGGGCGATTTAAGTATTTATCAATTTAAGATATTTCTACCCTGCATTTCCTTTCCAAAAAGAGTTGTTCA